GGAAAAGGAAAGAGGGAAGTTATTTGCACAAAGGGAGATTTACATCATGAAAGATTAGAACTAATGGCAAGGAGCCCTGGTAAATGAGAATTCTCCTTTAATTTTATTTCCTTTAATTTGATCTGATAATGGAGACTGCATTGATTACCTCAGTTGAGGATCTGTCCTATAGCGTGGAAAGATCCACTTTGGTTGCTTGACAGCTATGCTATTATATTGGCACTTTTCCCTACTATGCCTGTTCATTTATTGTGGTTTACAGCCAGCTGGATTGTCCACAAGTGCGGACAGCCTCTTCGTTTATGCTGCTGTTTTAGTTTGCTGTTGCATTATTGTGGAGAGCTGCCAGCTAACCTGGGAAAGCTCATCTGAGGCAAGACCATCCTGGTGCACGCCTGAAGATGCTGGAATGAAAAAACTGGTGCTTAATACTTCACTACAGATTTCTTGTATTTGGATGAGTTCCTGGCACAGGCAGGTTCATAGTAAAGGTTGGCGGGAAACCTCTTGGGATGTGGCTCTGACTACCCACCTGGTAGGTGAGTGTGCTGCACTGCAGGGGGATGAGCTCACAGAACTTACTGGTCGAGTGAACTGGAGCCAGTGCCAGTACCGGCTGGTTGTTTGTGGTGTACTATTTTGTTTCTGAAAACACAGCCTATTAGTGCTTTTAGGTTAAAATTAGGTAGCTATACAACACTAAAGGTATTGAATAATGAAAAAGAAAATGGCCTGAGAGCTGCTTATCCACCAGTGCTTCAGGAGGGGAGAGGTATACATACAGATGCAATGCTACATCTAAATTAAAGGTAGTTATTTGGCACGGTATTTCCATTAGTGTCTTTCTGTAATTTACTCCCTACTGATGAAATCCAATCAATCTGCTCAGCATGCTATGAAAAGTCAGTGAACAGAGTGGAAGACAGGACTTAATATGCTCTTGGCAGCCTGCACTGCTAAGGACCCATGCTGCTGCCTTCTCCATTAGCTGGAGTTTTTCAAAGAGACAGTGGCTAGGGTTAGATTAAAACAAAAATAACAATTTATTTCATTACAGGAGGGAAAAGAAAGGCCTTGCAAAATTTAACTTGAAAAACTGACAGAAACATCTCTTACAATAGCCATTAGCCCCTAGTCCATAGTGCCTACAACAGCCAGTAGTGAAGCATTACCCTGAAACTGAGAGAATCTGATGGCAACACAGTAGAGCAATGAGTGATGCAGAGTCATCTGAACTAGCTAGCACTGCTCATGCTAGAAAGTACACATGGCACAACGGACAACATATGTTATCTTAGGTCTGCAAGCATTAGTATCCTGCATTGCAAAAGTTCTGGTGGCTCTACTGCTTCCTAATACAATCTTAGCTCAGTTTCTCCTCCGGTAACTGCATACCACACTTACTGCAGAGTTCAACAAGCGTAGGCAATGCTCAGTGTAGGCAATGCTGTATTTGGAGTAGGTAGAAAGGACAGGCATCTTCCGAGGCTCAGGCAAGAGCTGTGACCACTTGACTGTGGAGTCAGTCTCCTTCAGCTCAGTCACTCACCTGCGGTGGTGTTCATAATTACATGCCCATTGGCCAGAGAGGGAAAGGAAACTCAATTTTGAAAAATGGCCTTGTCATTGCTAGACCCATTTATGCGTTTCTGTCCACATATATTGCACAGCTGTAAACCAGCTGTAAGGAAAAATATTTTCGGGGCCAACCCATTGTTTCCTAGACTGGATCAGAAATGTCTTGCACAGTGGAGAGAGCAGAAAGCGTTTCTGCTGGACCTAGCTATGTCAGTGCATTGTACTACCAGACAGTTCGGAAACTCTCCTGTGCTGGGCCTTATCTAAGCAACTGTGGATGTGCACCTACACAAAGGAGGCTGTGTATCTGCAAAGGAGACTGCACAGTGGTTCTTCAAACTGTTTCCCTCAGTCAGACAACGTAATTCTCATTCTGCAGTATTGATTCCACTTCAACCACCTTGTCGTTCAATCGTGGCCTGAACCCTTGTCTATGCACCAGGCTGAGTTGGAAGCAGAAGTGTTATTACATATAGTGAAAAAACAGAATTAACTCAAAGTCAAAGATCGATTGTGACATGCCCTGGCTGAACAAAGTAAGTTATGCTGGAGAAATAACATACAGAGGGAAGCTACAAGATACAAACCAGAGCAAGACACATAAGTACAACCTCCATTTTACATTGGTTCATTAACAGCGCCTGTCTCAGGGCCCTGAGTGCACCAATAGGCCTTAATTGCCCTGACCAGCCTCACCTGAGACCCACACCCTCCACCCATGGTCTAAGAGCTATATTTAAGCTCAGGCTGGGGAATGTAGTCCTTGCCTGAATTATGCTATAGGTGTGTCTGTCTCCAGCTCTGTCCCTTGGACCTGTGCTGCAGCCTTTTCTCTGGCCTGGTCTCCTGCTGCTTCTGATTGGACTCTCTGGATGGACTGCAGACCTGGTTAACTACCTTGTGTTGTCTGGGACTGTCACTGGACCCTGTTAGCACCACCCTGCTCTGCTCACCCTCTTCATGTTCTGTGAGACTGCTTTCTGGCTGGTGAGGGCACTGCCTCTGCTAAGGTCACTGTGGGCTCTCACCTCATCCTCCTTCATGGAGAACACCCACTCCTGCATCTTCCCTGGAAGCCTGCACTGAGTGGACTGCACCCATGCAAAAAATCTCTAATGCTGTCTTGCCCCTAATGTGCTCATCTCATGTGTGAATTCACACAACCCACAACTGCTGTGCCATGACTTGACCAAGAAATGTAACTGCTGCGGGGGCCCTGTGAGAGCACAGACCAAGCTGTATATTGTGATGCCAGCAGCGATGGGGCTGAGCTCCTCCAATCTGTCCCCGCCTGCCCCTTATGATGAAACTCGCTGCCTCACTTACAGGCATTCACAGATTGCCTCTCTTCATATCATTGCTCTTTAAAGAAACTTGAGCAGGGAGCCTGGCTGGTCAAGAACTTGCCTGATGTTGCCGATCATGGGCTTCTAGCGCTGGGAGCATTCCAGTGGGCTCCTTGGAACAAGCAAGCCTGCTCGTGTCCTCTCTTTTCCTAGATATACTCCTCTGTCTAAGAAATGGATTTACCGAACTGTAACAAGGTAGGAAATCCAAGTGGAAGTCTACTACATCCATTTGTTTTGATAAGCCAGAGGCAGGATATTTCTATTCTTTTTGGCATTCTGCCACTTACTGAGCAGTCTGGAATAAATCATTTAACTTCTGCATCTACTTGGGATAACAGTGATTAGCTGTTTAACAAAGATTTATGAAATGTAATTAATGAGGAGCCTTGGATTTTATTTTTTTTTGCCCTCAATAGATCAACCAATATTATGTTACTTATTCTCCAGCTTTTGCGTTAGTCAGCTCGGTCAGTTGCTGGAGAGTTTTTACTTCAGAGCATCCCCTAAGTCCTGCCCTCTTCTTGACGCTTGACAAAAACTGTGAACCAAGAGGCACGAAAATAGAAGTCACCTTGCTGTCATCCCAGAGTAGCACTGAGGACAGCCCAAGGGTTTCCATCATTATTTGCAAAGTATGTCACTGCACTCATATAAAAATACCGCTACTAAAATGCTATTATCTTAATAGCAGCAAAAAAATATAAGATTATTTATAAACAAGACAGACATACAGAAGGATGGAATAGCATATGGAGACTAGTCTTTATTTCACTTAGTCTTGTATAAATTTCACAAATTAACTCTCTGGGTTTATTCTTAGAATTATCCCAACTGAGATTTCATGGTAAGAAGAGGGCAGAATTGTGCCAAAGAGCAGTTAAAGTAAGAGATACAGAGCAATAGAAAGATAATGTGACCATCAGTTTTTATGTTGGTTTTGCCTGAGGAACAAATCTAAATCTCATCAGCTCCTCAGGCAGCACCTCTGCCTTTAAAGCGTGGGTTCATTTGGGCTTCATACCTAATCTAATGGCCTAAGCTCATCATTAGAAAGATACTTAGGACTGTTTGCTTAGAAACCACATGGCAAAAGAGGGCTGAAGAACTGTGAGAAGCCTTACTAAGTTACTCTTTGCACTTGAGACTGCTTATTCTTAAACATGTGTGTGTTAGGGGAGGCTCTGCTCTTTAATGGCACAATAAAAGTGAGCAGGAAGGATTATATTTGTTTCTTTTTACAATCTTCAGTTTTCCCAACGTGTCTCCTTTTGTTTTCCCTTTAACTTGTAAATTTATTCTTGTTTTGTTGAATAGGCAAAATGAGTAGCAAGTTTGATTTTAAGAGCATCAGTACAAGCCAGACGTCCACTATGGGTGATCTTCAGAGAGTTCTCAGTCAAGGAGAATATGCCCCTTTTACCTCTGCTCCCATGTTTGAAAGCAAGTTTGTCCAGGTAAAAAGTCATTCAAACGAAATCGTTTGGCATGCACAAGATGGAATTGTTTGCATAGGTTGTCTCTTTTTTTTTTTTCCCTTCAGCTTGACAGATGTTTTCATTCATTTATTCCCACTACTCTTATTCTGTTATTTAATACACACACATTCACATACAAATATAATTGGTTTCCCTTATCCTACAGACTCATTCTGCTCTCACTTTACAAAGAGCGGTCCAGAAATCCAGCAACAGCAATGCTATGTGTTGGAGAGGGATGGCAAAAAGTAATGTCTGAGCTTTCTTTGTCTGTCAGTCTCTACTCCTTCCTGCACCAACAGCTAGGATTGTTCTAGCAAATTTCTGGTTCTCTACTATCTCATTACGGTTGTTCAGCCAATAGCTTAAGCTTAACCTAGCTTAAATGGCAGTCAGCCTCCTCCAGATAATCTCTCCCTATTCCCTCCTTTTAATTTCCTTTAATATCCCTGCCTGTCACTTTCCCTAAGAACTAAGTGCTGGCCACAGAAGCTGCATGGCAACAATCTAAATTCCTGCAATCTTACATTCACAGTGTTTCTTAAATCTATAGATTTTATTTGCAGGATACATCTGAACAATGGCTTTCATAGGATTTCATCACCTTACTTTGATAATTGCAATATCCTTTGCTCTTGCCTTGATAAATTCTTGCATTGTTGATACACATGCAGAATGAAAATTAGCAACCTCTCTATTTTCAAGGTACTTTATGGTTTTTTTCCCCTAGTTTATTTATCAGACCTCATTTACTATCACAGAATCACAGAATCGTTTAGGTTGGAAGGGACCTCTGGAGATCATCTAGTCCAACCTCCCTGCTCAAGCAGGGTCACCTAGAGCATATTTCCCAGGATCACATCCAGACGGGTTTTGAATATCAAGGAGGCAGTGGCCCTAACCAATCAGCCGAAGAAAACAGCTCCATCACCTACTTGTTTACATTAAAATGAAAAAAATAGCCTTTGAGCTTTTTTCCCTAGTGTCTCCCCAACTTGGGAGGAGTTTTCACTAGATATCCACAAATCTAATGCACTATCTGCCCTCAAATTCCTTCTTGGAACACACTTCCTCTGATGCCTACCAAAAATAAACCATGATGATGGTAGGTCATTCAATCTTCCATAAGTATGATTCCTTAATACTTCTCAATGTATTCTCATTTCCTTGTATTTTATCATCTGTCTTCATCTGTAATTTTGTCTTATACATAAATTGTCTGAGATCTTTATCCATCCTGCGCTTTTACAGCACCTTGCAAGATCTGGTTCATAACCAGGTCTCATTACTATCACAGTAATACTGACAAGGACAATCAATCATCAGAACAGCATGCTGCCGCCACTATGTTTGCACTAGGAGAAATTCAAAGATAACGGTACCCAAGAGTCATCTTACCTCAGCAGTCAGGTACCCAATGATGGGGCTGCACAAGAACAAGAGATTTCCGGTCCTCCTTTATCCTCACTCAGCTTCTCTCTTCTGTTTTCATTCGCACGTTTCCGTTTATTCCACATTCCCCTCTCTACTCACCGCCCCATTACATCAGCTGTAGGTGTCCCAGGCCAAAACACCATGAAATGTATTGATAGCATATTCTCAGTGTGAGATCTCATGGCAAATGACAGAGCTTATGGGATTTTTTTTGTTCAGGTTAATCGAAGAGGGGAACCGATTTATGTCCATAACCGACCCAACTGCGTGACCATAGGCATCTGCGCTGCCAGCCCAAGCTCGCCAATGCCCAGTGCGATGCTGCTAGCGCATGAGGTGCCTGTATCCCCACCAGAAAGTACGACCAGTTTCTGGAAATTCTCAGAGCAGCCATCCCACACAGAACAGTTAGCACTCACCAGGTGAGTTAGCACTGAGAAGGGGTAAATAATCCTTGAAGAATAAATAAGATATATAAATGTGCTACCCCTTTCCATACAGTGTTTTCTTTCCTTTATGTTCCTTTTAGTTCACCAACAGACTTCACAACAGGATCACTTAAGGTTTAGCAGACAGCTCTTGGCCCCACTCCGGTCACAATTTCAGACTAAAGCTACCCACATATGTATAGGTAGATGATGACTGAGAATGTCTAACAAGTAATTTTCTAAATATATCAGAAGCTGAAAATTTGTAGTAAGATTGCATGTGGAGGATCATCAGGAATTAATACAGAGGAATAAAGACATTTTAAAGAAGCTAACTGCCTTTGCATCCACTCTGTGAACTGTTGCTCAATATTTCTTCCATATTCAGATAGAGGCACTTATAAAAAGTGTCCAAATCCACTCAGCAACTTTTTCCTATTCCAGTTTCTCACCTCTAGTCTTACTTTATCTGTAGGTCTGACAGACATAACATCTTATTTGAGAGGATTCTCCACTTCTTTTAACCATGATTTTCCCTTTTTTGTAGGTTCTTTCCCTTGAAGTTTGTAAAGCTCTCTGTCCACAGCATAGACAAGCATCACCTCAAGTTAAAGTTAATAAACGGCCGTTCCTACTATTTGGAGCTCTGTGCCCCCCCAGACCAGCAACACCACCTGTTCCATCAGTGGTTGCAGCTCATCTCTCTCCTGAAATCCCCAGAAAACACTAGCAATACCGAAGTCAATGTATTATATGAGAATTTTGGCACAAGTCAAGAGAAAGCTCACAGCCCAAACAAGCTGCTGGAAAACGTGAGTCTTTGGCAAAGCTGAAAAATCAGAAGGTATCACCTGCTTGTGTCAACATTCCTTACTACGTCTCAAGTCAAAGCTTTTGTGTGTTTTGAAGGAGCCTACAGATCTTTTTAGCAAAATAGCTGGCCTCTTGTAAACTCCCTAGAGAATCTCATGGAAATGGGAGTGAGAATGCCAGCTGCATGGTAGCCTTGATGAATTTTTGAAAATGAAGAAGTAGCATACTTCGTATTGTTCAGTGTTTAGTTTTCCCTCATATAGTGGGTAGGCAGACTTATATGTTCTTGAATGGCTCTTTTTTGCTGAATTCCACAACCCGCTGAGGAAAAGCAGAGAAAGACAGACGTGGCACGGCTGAGGCCTATGTAGTGACTCAGAGCTAATAAGCAAGGAGGGCAAAGGCATTTGATCTGCTCAAAAGACAGAAAGGGTAGAAAATATTTGAAGGAAATACAGTGGACAGCCAGACAGGCAGAAGGCAGCGGCTCAGTGTAGCTAAGAGATAAACAAGGAGCAGAGACAGCAAAAACGCTTCAGGGGATCCTGAACACAAAACTCGCGCACAGAAATTCCACTAAAGCCCGGGAGGGACCTCTTACCTTAGAGGTGCACGCAGGAAGAAATTCGGATTGTTAATGATGCTACTGAACCATTTCCCACACAAACAACATTTTGTCAGCACAGGCATTTCCTGACTGTGCTTTATTTCTTGCTCAGTCCAACATATTTTTCAGGGAAGCAGAGGGACATCCACAGAGAGGAGAAAAATGCACACTCAAATGGTCCACGCTGAGTGCTGCACATGTGACTACATTTTCACTGCACTCAGCAGCTCCCATCTCTTCCCTGACCATGGGTAGCAGAAAGAGGGGAGGAAAATTTTGTCCACTTACTGCAGAAAAGTGACAAGAAGACTAGAAAAATTATTATTTTGGAGAGAGGAGAGAACTGTGGAAGATGATTCCTTCAGGAAAAATCAGTGATGAGGTAAAGGGATGATTGAAGAGAAGGGAAAGTAGCACGTTCAGATTAGATTTGCAGAAAGTATAGGACTCTGATTTGGCTGAAAAATCTGCACAGCCACATCCCGCAACCATAATGGGTAACTCCAGAATGCACAGGTTGTTAAGAGAGAAAGAGCATAGGATTTATAAAATTTCTTACTTGATACTTTTCCTGCTTCAACTATCCTTTCATAGCCATCTTTCTTTTGGGTATTCTGCTTTTTTTATTATCTGACGTCAAAGCTTATATCCGTTCACAGCCTTCTGGGCACAAGCTGACCTGACGTGAATGTCAGCTCCTGTGTTTACAGCAGATGTGACTAGTGCGTTGATATACTACAAATCATGATCCAGACCTAGAATCTCTGTTTTCCTTTGCAGAGCAGACATGTGGTGTTAGACTTACATGTTTGATTTTTCCAATCACATCCATGTTTCAATGCCTTGAAGAGTCAACTGTCACTCACGATTAAGTTTTCTTTTCTACTAATTTTTTTTTAAAATATGGATTTTCCTCTGCACTATTAAATCTCTGCTCTCTTCCTGTTTAGATAGAAAGCTGACTCTGCACTTGAGATGCAGACAACTCTGCCTCAGCTGCTTGAAAGCAGGAAGTTTCAGTAGGGACCAGTCTCAATCTGGACAGGAAGCAGAGCAAAGATCTCATCTCAGCTTCCAGATATGAGCAAAAAGGGAGGAATAACCTGGAAAAAGAGTCCTCATCATGAATCAGAAACAGAGAATTTGGAGGTGAAGCCACAAACAGATCTCAGAGGTTAAACGGGACCTGCTATCCCCTGATGGACTGCATAGCTGTCGGCCAATAGTCATTAACAATTTGATAATGCACAAAGACTTCCACTAACGGTAGTCTCTGTTCTAGAGAGATATATTACTTTTTCTATGGATCATCTATCTGACAACATTTTATAGCAGAATATTCGGCATATAGGGGAATAATATATGGAAATATATTATTAATTGATAATTCATTGATAATTAATAATTGGTGATTAATTGTTAGTTATTTTCTGATCTGGAAATTATTTTCTGATCTCATCACAAAGTTCCAGTTGTGTTGATCAGCTCTGAGCAGAGTGTTCTTTCTCTCTCTCTCTCTCTCTCTTTTTATGTCCATCACTACCACGTCTGTTAACCTTTCCTTTTTCCTTCAAGACGGACCACACACAAGATGTCCACAGGCCAAAAACAGAGGAAGAAAAAGTTAGCAAAAAAGACTCCTCCCAGCAAGTTCCCCTCTCGGGTATAGCGGGCCCCAGTGAAGAGAGCGGAAGGAAAGAGGTGGCCTTCCATAGCTCCCTGAAAGCAACAAGGCAAGGAACCACTACGGAGTCAAAGAATAAAGGTCATCTGGATACAAAGAAAAGTAAAAGCATAGAAAAGAGAAAAGCTAGGTAGGTATGGTTTGGAAATTTTTCTGATACACCTGGTTTCTGCTGCTGAACTTTGAAGACTAAAATATGTCTCATTTTTTGAGGAATAAAAGTCTGTGCATGCACTGGGGTTTCCAGGCATTGAGACTTTGGTTTCTCAGACATCATGTGGTTTTGAAGGACCATTTTCCCCGCATTCCCCAATTCAAAAAGTTAGGCAATTAAGCAAAAGGGCATGAATTTTTTAATGATATAAGTACTCAGTGTTCTCCCTGAATGCTGAAGAACCTATATACAGGCAACTTTGATTTAGGTGCCCACAAACTGATAAATCAGAGAGGGACTATCCTGCCTACTTTCTGCAACTGTCAACTGTTATCATGCTGCACTGAAAATTTCTCTCTCTTCTGCTACTTACCCTGTGTCGGTACAACCCAAAGAATTAATTTTCATAGTTTGAAGTCTTAAGATAAGCTTTCAAAAGCAGCCAAAGAACAGGCTCCTCAGATCCCTCTGTGACAGTAAAAACAGAAGATTTGATCCAGCAGAAAATACTGGGAAAGATGGTGCTTCTGAGACGCAAGTCTGCTAGGGTAAAGGTAACACTCTGTGAGCCAATACGAAAGGGGATTAGACCTGCCTGGTATACGAGGGAATTGCACAGCATGGGGCAGACTCAGTGTTTCCTTTCTGCGCACAATCAGCAATATGGTATGGCACTAGAACTCTTTTCTGTATACCCCTCACAGCTATATCCCTCCCTACTTGTGCAGAAAAGGAACAGATTTTTATTGGTGGTGTTGCACAATTAAGATAAGCAAAGGTTAGGTGGCAGGGAAAGGAAGGAAGTAAAAACTAACTCTGTTACTTACATGAGTACCTACATGACAACTGAGAACAAGACTCTCATATAATCACTTTTCAAGTTACATCTAGACACGAAGTGATGAGTTCAGATGTGTGTTATGTAAGCTCAGTTTATAGCATTCAAATATCTTCACATGTTAGCGTGCCTGCATTTCAAAGCCATGACTGCTATGCACATTTACCAAGGCACGTTTCTACCGCAGGCGGGAAAAGTTTAAAATAGTATCTATATAATACTGATCCTAGTCTGAAGTGATATTATTAGGCTAGGTTTTAGTCTGATTTTGTGGCCAATGGCATCATGTTTTCTCCCTGAACTTTTTATTTTTAGGACAAATGCAACGAAGCAAAAAAGTGAAAAAAAATTGCAGACTTCAGGTATGACAGTAGTTTTCTGCAAATTTACTCACTTCCCCATTGCTATTCTCTCTTGCAACAGCAGATGAGAGAAGCTGAAACTTCATGAGCTGTGAGCTCTTTAGAACCAATAGTCCTATGTCCACGTTGCCAATAGATCAGAACTTGTATAGACATATTATTAAGAAGGTACCTCGTGCTCAGTCCCTGCTGTGATCATATCCCACCTTACAGGCTTCAGTGTCAGGTTTCTTCTAGGAAGAGCTTGATGTTTGACTCGTATGATTGGTATCAGTCATGCAGCACCACCGCATAAGTGGATGAAATACAGGCTGGTAGGAAGGGCCAGAAAACTGCATGCCTAGGACCTTGCAAAGACATATTGTTGGCCCATACCTCCTCTTCCAGTGTGCTTCAAGGCTTCCCAAAAGCCCATGTCTGAGCATGTGTTTACATCCAGGCAGCGCGTCTGCATTGTCCTCAAGCATGAGGTCCAGATCCACGTTCGAAGTAAAATGCAGATGCAGCCTTTTGACGTACTCTGAACAACGTTATGGTGGGATTAGCATTAGCTTCCTTTTTGACACCCTATATTTCTGCACAAATCTCTACAGAATATCCAGCTAGAAAAGGCAGGTACCTGACAGACAGTCTATACTACTGCAGATAGTTCCCAGTGTTCATAATTCTCTGTTTATTGTCAGTGTGTACGCAAAAACTAGAGCAGCTTAGCTTATTGATGACCCTTACTTTGTGTCCAAACTTGTGATCATTCTGCATGCAGGTGAACTGGTCTCTTGAACAAAAGCTTTTACAATCTTCCTCCATATACTTCTCTATCTTGCCAAGTCACAAAAGTTCGAATGAGCTCCTGTCCTACCAGCTTCATTTTTTGTGAACATGTTGCTGCTGTATCCTCCTCTTCATACTTGGCCTGTGGGCTGCATGCAATTTGTTTTCCTACTTGCCACTTGGCAATCTTAAAGTGATCTATACAGCCTGGAAGGAAGACTCTTGTTTTATTACTTATCCTCATTTAACTGCTTTTCTCATTTTTTCTGTTTGCACACATCTCTCCTTCACCCACTAATAGGTACCTGTCTATCTGCCTGAAAATCTCATTGCATCTCTCTCTGTCCATACTTCGGTACCTGAATCATTTCTAATATCCCATAGTTATGTTCTTTTTCACTCTCTCTTTTTGTCTTTTAATAGTCATTCATTTAGAAATGGGAGGGTGGGCAGAGAGCAAGGGTCTATGAGGAGATATAAACTAGCATATGTCCAAAAACATATATCAGCTCTCTATATTATATGGAGACAAATAACAACAAAGTATTTAGATTTAATCAGCAATAACAGTGCACATCAATATATTAACTATGGTTTCATTTCAAACTCATTTCTTGCATTTTAAAAGATTCTGTGACCTACATAAAGTGCTAAAATCCCTAAGTAATATTTTTCTGGGACTCAGTGCTACAATTTGGCATTTCTAGCAATTTTATTGTATAAACTGTAATAACAGAGTAGTGAAGCAATCAGAACTGAACTGCTTCATATATTTTCCTACTATGTACCCACAACTGTAAGATCATTCCAAAAAAATCTCTGTTGACAACCCCAGCATTTGGATTTGTTGGATTAAGGGAGGGGAACTTCGGGGCGTGCCTATTTATTTCAGTCATTTCCCCTCTAGCATCTTGTCTCCATTTTCTATTCTATATAAACAATTACTGTTAGATATTTATTCTGTAGTAATGCTTTTGCAGAATGCTTTCTGTAGGGAAGAAAAAGTAGCTGACTGTATTTCCCATCTTTTTTTCCTTTCTTTCTGTTACCACCTTTGCTTCTTTTCCCTGTGTCTGTTTCTTTCCTCAGCAGTTTACAGTTTTTCAGCTTTCCCTCTCATCAGCTTTCCTGTTCCTTCTCTCTAGCTCCAGATTATTCTTTCTCTCACCTTCCACATTCCTTCAACCCCATTCTGTGCTTCTCCCCCCTTTTTAAGCTGTTCCTTCCTCCAAATATGTACTCCTCCGCTGTGCAATTCTCTCTCCTCTCTCTTCCTTCGTTCTCTCCCAACCTGCATTCTACCACCCGTTCCTGACTTTGCCATACTAAGGCAAAGGCAGCATCTGCTCATCCAAAACCAGAAATAGTAAGGAAAGCTGAAAATCAAAGGCCTCTGGTCTTTGTTTCTTCCTTTGTGGTTCTCTGTGTTTGCTTATCTTCTCTGTCCTATTCTCTGCTCTGATCCCTTGTGCTTCTCTTCCTCTTTGATTCTCTGCTTTCCTGTGCTGTTTTCTTCATTTTCATCATGTTTCTTTTCAGGAAATCTAAAGAGTGGCAGTAAGTCAGTTGTAGTCTGCTGCAAGTAATATTCCAGGTGGTTAGTCAGTGAGAAAGAATAAAAGAAAATAAAGCAAAGCATCTTGGATACCAGATGCAGTTGGAACAGTGAAAAGACGTACACACAGAAGAAAAATCACCCTGCGGACTTCACTTCTGTTCATAATCTTTACTATTGTGAAATTAACTGTTACTGAAACACAAACTCTGTATTCCTCTGATGGTTAATTCACAACTAGCAACACTGAATAAATTTGTTTTGATTCTTGAGAAGGGAATCTACATTTTGCAGTGACTTAGACTATTTTTTCAGGGAGAAGACCTGTAGTTTGCAGCAGAACGCAAAGAATTAGACACTTGAACTAACGTTAACGCTTGAGCATGGCTCGTAGTTTCATATATGGTGAGGAAATCTTGTAGAAGTGACTTTCAGTGGGACAGTTCAGTGGGACAAGTGATAGAGAGCAATGCCACGTAGCGGACACAAACCCATGCTAACCCAGGCTTTATTTCTGCCAGTGAACTTCTGGCTCACTGTGGGCAAATCACTTATTTCTGTGGTTCAGCTTCTTCTTTTGTAAAACAGGGATAGCCAGACCTCTTTTAAAAATCACCATGCAATGTACTAATGAAAACCATTATATAAAGATTAGGTGGTGGTGTTGTTATTGCTTTGTACTGTAAGCATTGCTTTACCATTGGAATACTAAGTAGCACTTTTGACAGCATATACGTGCTGCACTGCTAACTGTATTAAGCAAGCCAAATATCTTATGTAACTATATTCATTCTAAAGGCAAAGGCAAAGACCTGCAACAATGAACACATCTACACTGCGTTTACTTGGGCACTGTGTAGCACTGTAGGGGAGAAAGGATGCCACCAACTGAATTACTTACAGTGGCATCCAAGAGCTGATGGGAGGTATCCCACTGAGAGAGTACATCAGCTTACTTTATGCTATATAATAGCAGGGCAGCATATGGATTGTTCACGCTATGATTTCTCCATTCAGTTTAGCCTGTAGGTGACATTTGCTTTTTTAGAAAACAGACCTGTTCCAGCCTAGCTAATGAACTTCTGTTCTTTTCTCCCTACCTCATCCCTGTGATTGTCTGGCATTTCAGACCTTTCTCACACCATACAAAATTCGCAGCTGTTGGTGCAAGAACCTTTTCTACAATTCTGCAATCTGATACAGCCACCTTTCATCTCTCTGCCTACTGCAGAAAAGCAGCTGAGGCTCTACAACAGTTACAGATTGATGAAGCAACAGATGGTTGCCAAAACAAGAACTGAATTCCCTGATACCCAGTCTGTTTATATGTTATCTACTACTGCTCTTGCTGCCTGATGCTTGAAAATTTCTGTGTAGTTTACAGTATGTGCAATATTTTACTCAAGGTTTGAAGCATAAGTTCTGCATAAACATAGCTAAGCAAGAGAGT